CAAGAATTGGCGAAGGGAATGCACACAAATCACCAACATCATCTAACCATAAATTGCACATATGAATTTGTTTGTTTCAACACTCTGGCTTCTAACTACTATTTCTTCACTGAGTTTTTTCTACAACTAGTACATTACATCATACTAATAAATGGAGTCTTTCCCCTCTACCCTCTAGCTCTCTCCACTAACAGAGGAAAAAACAGTAATAGATGTACATAGGCAGAAGCACTGCTACTGGCAGGGTCATCACAAAGGAAGTTTTGAAGGTATAAAGTTTCATGATATTTCTCTGGTAGAGTTTCAAGTTTATAATTATTACTAGGTAAGTGTCATGACGTTAGAGGCTTAGCACAATGCACAAGAATTAAGATATATTAGCTCCTGTAAGGCCCTTGGCCTCTCTAAAATCCAAGCACCACCCTGAATAGAATCTAAAGGCCAGTTGGATGTCTTTAACCAAAGACATCACTGACGCCTCAGTCAACATAAAGAGGACTAAAGAACATCCCCTCCCTCAAACCACTTCTCTTATAGTAACCATTTATCTACATAATTCTATTCTATTCATCCCCTCAGATCCCTCGGTCAATCCACAGTAAATCAAGTAAAACCCTCAACTCTGATTTCTGCTTTCATGACCTTGTTTCAGACCCTGATATCCTTTCACTAGTTTCTGTCAACTTAGTTTTATTTATTTATGTTTAGTTCATTGAGATAGAGGGAACACAGGCTTAGAATCAGAAAGATCTGGGTTCCAATTCTAGGGTGATTATTTATCACCAGGGAGACAAGCTCTGAATCCTACTCAGCCTTAATTGTTTCACCCCCAAAATATTATCTGTTCCTCTTTGTGCATGCTGGAGAGAGCTGACATGTCTTTATACTGTCACCACTGAAATCTACATGCAAAACCAGCTTTGGATCAGAATCAGGTATTCGTGTGCTAATATGCTGTAGCTGGATCTCTATAAAGACACTAGAACTCACAGTCAAAGGTTCTTTTACTTTCAGATTTCCTTAGCAACTTTTTAGAGAACTAGCCCACAGAATTTTACAATTTGTCATTTGGTTGCATCAAGGACAGGATATTCCAGGAAAAACTGACTCACAGAAAAGAGTTTACCTAAAAGTCTGTCTTAAAACTTCACCTATTTTATAATCTCCATCTGAAAGTAGTGGGAATAAATAAGATCTCCTAATGCTATTCTTTAGCCAAGGCCCCACCTCCAACCTTTAGTTTCCCTTCTTTCCCATCCACTGCACAAAATTCTAGGTTTCATCCTATTTTCACGCATGTGTATAATGTACTCTGACCTTACTCACCCTCCATCACCTTCAGTAGAAAACTACCTGAAGAGGATATAACTCGGACTTAAGAGTCTTATTTCTCAAATGCCATTATTATTTTATGAGATTTAGAAAACCAAATTCTCCCCAGGAACACAAATACTAGGAGCTGTTATAGGGCTTTCCTAGCTAGCTGACTGCAGCTAAGCCTGAATTTGGTAGTGAGGGCTAGAAACTCAAAAGCCTTTTTTAAAAAACCCTGTCAGTTTGAGTCTAATAACATTCCAGCTCTGACACATTCTTTAGAAAACCCAAGTGTTTAGACTTTAATAAAATTAAGCCTTTAATAAACTAGCTTAGGCATTGAATCTCTTTTGAAGAGCACAATAAAGCCATAAGCTCTTTACAAGCCTGTCAGTGTTTTGACAGACAGCTTTAATGGACAAAGGAGTTTCTAAGCAGCGACTGCAATGTAAAACCACACCAAAACCAAAATTTGTACACAGTATCTTTGCACACACATGTGTATAATGATTTAAAGTAACAGTAAATGAAATCTGATAAAATTGTACAATCATTTTGCAATTTATAAAGAATCAAGGGATCTCAACATGATTATCAATGATTGCTAATACATCATGGAAACAGTTAGACCATCAGTCTTAGCTCTCAAGTAGGAAATAGACAAATTAATGGGGAGAAAGAAATCGAATCTGAATGTTATCAAGCTTCTAGAACCAATAATCAGGGTACAGGAGATGGCTTGGCAGGTAAGGCACCTGCTCTCAAGCTTGACTACCTGACTTTGACCCTTGGGACCCACATGACAGAAGGAGACAAATGCAAGCTGTCCTCTGATACATGTTCTATGACATGCACACTCCTCCCCATACCACGCACACACAAACTAAATAAAATTGTAACAAAATTTTAAGAAGAATTTTAGAAAGTACAGTGAAAAAAATAATACATTAAATTACAATACAGAGATGCCATCAACACAAAGTACTATGAGAAACCAACAGGAAGAATGACCCAAAAGAAGGAAAAAGGAAAAGAAGGAGGAAAAGAAACAGACCTTGAGGGTTATCTGCAGCTGATGGTTGATGGGGAAGGGAAAAAACCGTTTCTTCAGTGGTATAGTCATTGGTAAGATGCCCACACTCTGTAAATGACCCAATGAAACACCGTGCTGGGATACACACACACATGAAAGTAGAAGCGGGCCGGCTGCGAAGAGGAAAGCGATGAACGGAGTGGGAGGAGGATAAGGGAGAGTAAGAGGACGTAGAATATGATGGAAATACCTTATGAACATGTATGAAAATGCCATAACAAAAACCTACAAATAGAGCCGGGCAGTGGTGGCGCACATCTTTAATCCCAGCACTTGGGAGGTAGAGGCAGGAGGATCTCTGTGAGTTCGAGGCCAGCCTGGTCTATAGAGTGAGATCCAGGACTACCAAAACTACACAGAGAAATCCTGTCTTGAACCCCCCAAACAAACAAACAAACAAACAAACAAAAAACCAAAAACCCACAAATCCTGCCAGGTGGTGGTGGCTCATGCCTTTAAAGATTAATCTTAGCACTCAGGAGGCAGAGGCAGGTGGATCACTGTTAGTTCAAAGGCCATCCTGGTCTACAAAGCAAGTTCCAGGACAGCCAGGGCTGTTACAGAGAAACCCTATCTTGAAAAACCAAAAACCAAACAAACAAACAAAACCCACAAATCCGATCAGTGATCTAGACATAAAGAAGCAACTCAACTCCAAAGAACTTATGAGCACCCTTTAAAGAGGAAACACTGAGAGCACTAGAGTTTTCATACTAAGCCAGTTTTATAGTTTAAATTTCAAGAGCATAATTGTAAAGACTTATACATTACTTTTCAAAAATGGGCAGAAATGTATTTTTCTATTCATTATACACTTTTCCCAATTAAAAATCTGTGGGAAAAGAAGTTGCCAATGAACCAGCTCCCAAGTTGAGAGACTGTTTAGAAATGAGCAGTGACAAAGTTTCTGCCAAAACCTATGTATACAAGTAGCACGCAGATCTTTCTGTGCTCTTCTATATAAGGTAGTAACGTGAGCGAATTAATTGTGCTCCACAGCAAAGGCATAAAGCTGGATGAGAATCGTGTTTCATTGCTAGAAATTACAAAACCTTTAGATTGTATCTTTTTTCCTCAAAAGGGAAAAACAGCCCAGGCTTAATGCCAAATAAAATCATCTTACACTAAAGTAAGAGTTTACTACCTTTCCCCCAAATATCGAAGGTAACACATAAGAATGTAACTTGAATAAGGGTCATGAACTGGTTGGACACAATTAGCGGAGGGGTTTTATGAATTACAATGAATGCAGCTATGGTCTAGTAATGACAGTATCAAAGAGGAAATGACCTCGCTGGCAGGCGTACAGCTGCACAACACATTCGTTTCACTGCTTCCAAGTGCCAGTGCTGGAGACTCCGAGGAAGTCAATGGCAGGAGGACGTCAGGAGAAGGAGTCCAACTGAACAGACACAAGGACGGCACGCTTAGGAAACTCACACGCAGATAAGAGGTAAGTAGTTAGCAAACGCATATGGAACTAACTTAGATTTGTGTTGTTTCCATTTGTATCTTCAGGAGCTCGGCCTCCATAGTCTTTTATATCTATTCAGTGGATTAAAATGTATAAATACAAAGGGTGATTTTAATATGGGGTTTGTGAGTATAATGAACAAATAACTTCATCTTCCTCTTAAAGTGTTTCTCAAGGAAAACTGGGAAAAGTAAGGGAAACAAACATAAGTATTTTAAAAAGAACTGGTTCAAATTTGGCAAACTTATGTGATTATATTTAAAACCTTGTAGAAAGATGCAGTAACTAATAAAAGCAAGTACTTGGGCTAGTAATACTTTGAACTACTTTCTTTCCAACTAAAGGAATTATAAAATGAGTCACAAAAAGCATTTAAATCAACACCCATCAGACAAATGATTACACACTCAGATTCTCAGCTGGTAAATCCTGACTCAGACCTTAGGTGGGCTTGAGTCTTACTGGGTGGGCAGTCAGAACTTACTGAATCCTTTACTTACAACTATTTAGAGCTTTGATTCACTATTCTGTATGTTTTCTAAAGTTATGGGGGCAGTATTCAAGGGTCAGATAGCATGTAGTGTGCTATCTCCTCCACATTGCCTCTGTGGCAAATCAGAACTACAGTATTTTTGTGGGCACTGGCTGAATTATCACAAATGGATACCAACCTATCAAAACAGGAAGGGGGACTTAGTTAGCTCTAGTGTTTTTTACTGTTTTCCGGAAAAACACATCCTCTCTGTATCTAGGCGGAACTCTCTGACATTTAAGTTCAAATTCATCTCTTAGAATTACAGAAAAAAAAAAAAAAAAGACGAGAAGCTAACATGTTTTTTTTTTTTTTTCCTTTCTTCCACATCTATTGGTGTCTTTCATTGAATCTTCTGAAATCTAAGCCTCTAGAAAAGACTAAAAATGTGGATGTCTTACTGGCAAACATGGACAGATGCATGTACATCCCCATCTTGGAGAACCTGAATCTTTAAAAAGGAATATAAGTCAATCTTGGCTTTGAATGTCTGGCATGGGTACAATGCCTTGCAGAAGCAGATGACTAGCTTAGCTACTGACCATGCTGACCACTGTCTGGTACTGGACTGAATCACAGAACAGCGAACAGCTTGCTCTTATAAAATGTCTGAACAAAGCCCAACTCCTGAGCACATTTTACAGAATATATGTGATCACTTGATCTTGTCTAACCATTCTGGACTAAAGACAGAATCAGCAGCAAAGGAAATGAAGTTGACTGCCGAGGAGCCTGGGAATAAAGTGCAGTGGGCAGCTCTGCTGATACTCCTGGTGATAATACCAACCATCGGTGGGAACATCCTTGTTATTCTGGCTGTGTCACTGGAGAAAAGGCTGCAGCATGCTACCAACTACTTTCTAATGTCCTTGGCGGTGGCTGATTTACTGGTTGGAGTGTTTGTGATGCCGATTGCCCTCTTGACAATCATGTTTGGTAAGTATTTCCCCTTGTTTCTGCCACTGAAACCCCCAACTACTAAAGAACCTGGCATTCATTTGCTCTTTATTTTCTTTGAAATAAAAGATGGACCCGGATTAAAGACACAGAAGGGAACATTCCCTCATTTTTTCTATGATTTGTTATAAATGTGGAAGGACACAAAAATAATTTCTTAGGAACCAGTTTACCCCCTCCTCAGCCATCTTATAAAATCACTAATTTGGCAATATTCACAGATTCTGCATGTATTACCTAAAAATTATAGTAAGTAAAAAACCATACTTTTCATACTTTCCCTTTAACAAAGTAATCAATAACTTGGACAATTCTGGGACTTTAATCACTGAACCATCAAGTCCCATCCCTATTACAGCCTTGAACCTTTAAGAAAAGATGTTTAGTTACAAAAGGAAATGGTCTGGCTCAGAGTACCTCAAGAGAAGACCCATCTGTTTAATTTTTTTATGGTATCTGACCATCTGTGTTCCCAATAAACTTGAAAGTCAATAAAATAAGTGGAATAGATCCTGAGTTACTGTGATAATAAAAATACAGTTTGACTTTCAGATCTTTGTTATAATAAAAAAAGACAATATATTAAAGTAGGCATACGGAGTTTCTGCTGTGTGTACATCACCCCAAACTATGTGAGCAAACACAAATGATTTTGTTGAGGAATTATGAGGGCTCCTAGTTTCAAAGTCAACATTAAAAGAACATTTAATTAGTCAATGTTTGGGATAAACTGATATTCCACTAATAAACCACTTAAGATAATTATAGATGCTCAGGCTTCCAAGAATTGTACTTATATGTGGAGAATAAACATATAAGTTATGCAAGTAAAATTTACTAACCCAGAACATACTAGTTGATTAAATTAAAAAGTAAAGAAAAACTGCTATTGCAATTTTTTTTTATAAGAAACAGCAGGGAGACATATAGAATGAAGAACTTGTGTCTTCACATGTAGTAAGATGATGATGAGTTAAAACTTCCTATTGCAAAGCAACACTCACCCAGCTTTAAAGGACAAATAAGCTTCTACTGCCTTAGTAGATTCTCTCATCAGTAGTATTCTCTCCTTTCTCTTTCCTTTGATCATTCTGTAATCTCTTGAATACCCTAATGGTATGTGTAAGAAATGACACTATAATAACAACCTGCAGCTCAAAAGAAGGAAGGATGGATGATGTAGGGAGGTATATGGAAAGACCTCAGATGCGTAAGACTCCAGTTCTCAACTCCATGTTCATAACAATAGCTTAAAGAATAAACCCCACACTCTTTGGTGCTTCGCTAGGCATACAGAAAATATCAAAATGCATTATCTCTGTTTTACTAACATAAAAATATTGAATAGAGATTTGAAGGAATTTTACAGAAGTGAATTTTAACTTGAAACCTTAGTTTGTAGATACCAAACATCTACTATATGCAAAATTCTGAGCTAGGTATTTAAAAATCATTGGCTTAGGATAAGGAATCTTTTTTTAAAAAAAAAAATAATGTATTTATTTTTATTTTATGTACATTGGTGTTTTTTTTTTTTTTTTTTTTTTTTTTGTTTTTTCGAGACAGGGTTTCTCTGTGTAGCTTTGCGCCTTTCCTGGAACTCGCTTTGGAGACCAGGCTGGCCTCGAACTCACAGAGATCCGCCTGGCTCTGCCTCCCAAGTGCTGGGATTAAAGGCGTGCGCCACCACCGCCCGGCGCATTGGTGTTTTGCTTGCATTTATGTCTGTGGGAGAGTGTCGGATCTCCTGGAACAGAAGTTACACAGTTGTGAGCTGCCATGTGGGTGCTGGGAATTGAACCAGGGTCCTCTGCAAGAGCAGTCAGTGCTCTTAACAGCTGAACCTTCTCTCCAGCCCCAGGATAAGGAATCTTAACAGAGAAAAGTCTATAGTGTTCAAGTTCGCTGACACTTCACAAGGAGGTTTCAAATAGTTGGCACCTCATGGGCTGAAGAGATTGCTTATATAGAAAATTATTGCTTAAGATATTCTTAACAATAAAAACAGCAGAAAACTAAACATTTTACATAAAATATATGGAACACCTACATACTTAATTGTAACTCATTTTAACAGCATTTCATCCTTCAAATACTTGTAAAATAATTTACATAAAATATCTCATAGTCCCAACCACTTTGTTATCAGTAATTATGCTGTATAAAGGAGCTATTAGATTGCAGGGTGGGGAAGCAACCCTAACTAACCTGAGAATGTAATTATTGTTTAAAATGTCATGGCATGAATTTATTATTTAAGATATAGTCTGTGACCACGGGGCATATGGATACATGCTACTATGGGAAATGAATGTTCATAAACTGGAAGCTGTGTACAGTGTAAATGGGTGGGGGACCTGATTTTAAATAGTAAGATCTTTGTATAGCCTTCCCAGCTTGATAAATACTAAGACTTTCTAAACTAACACATTTGCATGAATTTCTGGTAATTTTTAAAAGTAGCAGTACATGATGTATGATTTTTTTCTAATTACATGGGAAATCTTCAGAACTTTGGAAGTCTACAAACCAAAGTGTTCTTGGTTATATAATCATAAAAGATTAACTACCATTTTGAACAATCTAAGCTATTACAGGGAAGTTCAATAAAAGCAACTAAAAACCTTTATAGCAGTTAAGGATTCTAATAAAGTCAAACTTTAAAAAGAATGAGCTAGAAATAACAAAGTAGCCCTGGTGTTCTTAATTGAGGGATATTTTATTCAAACATTTATTTGTAATATTTAATTCCGTATTGTCTGAATTTCTGTTTTACCAAGACTATGAAACTCTTGACATGACACTTTTAACTTTTCTGCCAAATCTTCTTTGGGAGCACTGGATGCAACCTTTACAGGTTTATTTGCTTATTGTTACCATTTTATCTATTATTCTTAAGATCCATGATTACAGTACAACAGCTTTTAACACAAACCCTAAAAATACCTACATCAGAAATACTTGGGCAAGGAAGTCTAAGGCGGGAAGACTGCAAACTGGACGCCAGCCTGAGGGTTACAAAGCAGGACCCTCTTGCAATAACGGACACCTCCAAACCATGAGCCACTGGCGAGACGGTCCACAGTAAATGTGGGTAAAGGTGCTTGGTGGGGGACCTGAGTTCATCTCCAAGACCCACATGGTGGAGAGAACTGACTCCTTCCAGTTGTCTCCTGTTCTTCACACATGTACCAAAGTCTACGCAATTTCTGTCCTCCCCCACCCCCAACTCTGCGCGCCTGTGCGCCACACACACACACACACACACACACACACACACACACACACACACACACGCTATAAATAAATGAAATTCAAATTAACAAAACAAAATAAAGTGACAACAAAAAAGAAAGACGGGAAGGAATGAAGGGATGGAGAGAGGGAAAGAGATAAGAATATTTGAGTAAGAAACAGAATATCTCCAATATTTTCCTTATCAAATACATTATTGAAAATATGAAGGCAAAAGTATGTAACATTTGGTTATCCATTTGTGGGTTTTTGTTAGGTTTTGTTTTTTTGTTTTTCAAGACAAGATTTCCCTGTGTAGTCCAGGATGGCCTGCCTCTGTCTCCTGGGTAATGAGATTAAAAGTGTGAATTGCCACACTGGGCTCCATTGTAACAAATTTTAATCCATATTCTATGAGCCATAGTATGAAGCAGAACCCATGGAGCAGGTGAAACAAAGTGCATTAAAATTGTTTAGAAAACAGTTGGAAAGACTAATTCTGAAACCAGAGAACAAAGCAATGAACACTTTTTGGAAAGTGGAAATTTAAAAAGCCAAGGAAATTTCCTACTACATACTAAGTAGATGAGAACACTTAAAAGCACTATCATATTAGCTAACCCCAGGAGATGTTGTTATATGTTCAGATGAGAGGAAAACACACCCAGACACACATGCCCAACCAAATCCCCCAAACAAAAAACAATACCAACCAAGAACCACCCCAGAAGCTTTGCAGAACCTAAGCATTGAACCAGGTATTGCTTTTTGAAATATAAAAAAGCAGTAGAATTCTTCTGTTTAAACAAAACTTGTTGAGGGCTGTCCCACAACAGTTAAGTTTCTAAACTGTATGCCTTTGTGAACCCTGTAGGCATAGCCTTTTCAGAATGTCTTTCAAAACAATCTTTAAAATTCTTAAAATAAGGGAGATGTTTTATAACTCAGATTTATAGACTAATGCTAATTATTTAAAAAAATGATGTAACTTAACTTTCCAAACTACAAACTTGACTAAAAGGCAAGGAGATTTCAGATGCAGTGAATCTATCTCATCAAAACACAAGGCTTTGGGTTTAAAAAAAAAAAAATCAAATTTTTACAATTAATAAAAAGAAAGCAAGTAACAACATATTCCTCCTCAAAGCAAAAGCATGGGCACAGCCCATTTACAATGTACACAGGTTATTAATGTTTCAGTGTAATAACAAATAGCAATAACATTCAACTTTAGAAAAAGACACTTTTATGATAAATTTCAGTGTAGCAGTTAGGGATGTTCCCGCTGTGTTCTCTGTCTCCCCCAGTGCGGGCTCACGTTCATGCAGATGCACGGCACTCTTGCTCTACTTGGACAGATCAAGACACTGGTTGTACACAGGTAATCTGGCTTTGTTTCTGAAGGTGTACCTTCACTGCCAGTTTGATGGTCTAGTCACTTTTCAAAACAGTAACAACTGCCATTTTGAGTGCCATCTCTGTGCCACACACTGTTGCAAATATTCCACACATATTATTTTACCGTATTTCAAGCCCATACATACAATACCATAGCAAGCTTATAAAACAGGTAATACTAGCGCCATCACAGACAGGATCTACAACAGGTTAACTAATTATCTGAGATGATAAAATAAGCGGTACAATATGTGAATCCAGGAGGAATGATTCTGGAAAATTCTTATGCTCAGCTCCTCATTGCCCTACTCTGCTTTCTCAAAGACAAATGTTGATTCTATCAACCCAAAATATTATATTCAGCATACGGGACTAACAAGAAAGCCTACAGAATTTTGGGGATGATGAGGCAGAACCCAGTATCTTTCAATTAAAAATATATTTCACGGGCTGGAGAGATGGCTCAGAGGTTAAGAGCACTGGCTGCTCTTCCAGAGGTCCTGAGTTCAATTCCCAGCAACCACATGGTGACTCACAACCATCTATAATGAGATCTGGTGCCCTCTTCTGGCATTCAGGCATACGTGCAGGCAGAACACTGTATATGTAATAAATAAATAAATCTTTAAAAAAAAAATATATTTCACATTATGTGATAGAATACTTAGGTCTCAGCTAGTACTTGTACAAATCCTTGAGGTGACTGGTCTATTTTCTGAGGAAGGTACTAGAAACAGGCAATGCCTATGAAGTTGCTGAACCTTGCTAGGAGACAAACAGAAACTTAGGCAGCACATGAGAATGACCACCCTCACGTACATGGTCTTTACAGTATGCAGTTTCACAATGAACAAGCACTGTCTTACCAACAGCTGAATAAACTATCTACAAACCCAAGACTTGTTTTGCTCCTCAAATATTACTCTATGACATTTAATGTACAATTATTTTGAGTACCCATAGAAATGTCATTATTCAAATATTACTTTTCTCTAGTTTTAGTTCAAAGACAGTAAAGGAAGAAAGTTGAAAATGGGATTTATGGGTTGGAATATAGTTTAATGGCAGAGTGCTTGCTTAGTCTTGAGGCTTTGGTTCAATTCAGGGATGGTGGTGGTGATAGGGTGAAGAAAAAGGTACAGGGTGGGTAGAATTTGTTTTTCAGAAAAATTTTATGTGAGAGTTCAAGAAAAGCAATTATTCATTAGTCTATGTGATTAGTCTATTATTAGTCTCATTAACTTCTCATAGATACATTTTTTTCTTTTCTTTTTAAACTTAAATCTTTCTTGTTTTGGTTGATTATTACAAATTTAATTAATATCCAATCCAAGTCCTGCTGAAAATAGGTGGAACATAAGGCATTACAATAAATAAATGTAATTATAAATCAAACCTGATGCTTCCTATATGCTACATGGGTGCCCCACCACCAGATTCCTAGCTCCTTTTGTCCTTTTATAAATTGTTGCACTTTTGTTTTGGAGACAGGGTCTTGATGTGTTGTCAAGGCTGGCTTTCAACTTACTATGAGGCCCAGGCTAGCCCCCAAGTTTTCTTTTTCCTGCCTCAGCCTCCAAGTGCTGGGATCACAAGCACGTGCACCATGCCCATAGTTCCAGTCTTGCTTTCTTTCCCCCCATTTAGATTTTATTTTACTATCTTATTTTATGTGTGTATTTTGCCTATACGTATGTCTGTGCACCATGGGTATGCCTGGAGCTTGCAGAGGCCAGAAAAGGGTGTCAGATCCCCTGGAACTATGGCTACAGATGGTTGTGAGCTACCATGTGGGTGCTAGGAATCAAACACAGGTCCTCTGGAAGAGCAGCCACGCTCTTTTAACCACTGAACCATTTCTCTAGCCCCATTCTTGCTTTTAATAAAAGGTTTCTATTAATTTAGTGCCACTATACTGCTTTCATAAAAGTCTATCCATTAGTATTTCATGGAAAGGTGGAATCTTAAAGATCTATCTCTTTTAAACCTATATACTCCTTTTTAGAATTCTATACCACTGTCAGATATTTCTGACTAAAATAAGAATGTTCCAGTGATCTGCATTGATTTTAATTCCCACTTCTCCAAAACTGGTATCCATAAACATATTAACTTTGTTGGAAATAAGGCTAACAAGGCTTCACAAGCCTAATTAAATCAGCACTGGAAAGCTTTCCTTTTTAGCCTATAAGGAGAAATACCGTGGGTCAAAGAGTCAAATTCCAAAGACATGTATTTTTTATGTGTTTTCTGTGGCTTCCTGCTCATGGCTACAAGATTTATGACTAGAATTTTCCAGACCTTAATTTTCAAATGTAGAATACATGCTTAAGAATAGCTAAGTAGGAAAGTTTAAATTAGTAGCAAAGTATTTTATTTTAAAAGTTCTACAGAGACTGTGTGCACTTGATAGAACACCATAGCCAGGTGAGGCAGAAGGGTTGTATATTTTAGGTCAGCTTGAGTCACATGGTACTATCTCAAACAAAATGAAACAAACAAACAAAAAAAACCTCAAGAAACGTCCAAACCAAAAAACAAAACAAAGCAAACAACAACAACCAAATCATAGTAATTTCAGCGGTAGAAAACTTGCTTAGCATACTTCAGGTCCTGGCTTCCATCTCTAGCAACACACATGCTTTAGAGTTGTTTTATTCTTGATATAGAATCTTGCTATGTTGCCAGGTTGGATTAAGGCCTGGGATCAAGTGACCCTTCCATGTCAGCCTCCACAGTACCTGGAACATGCTCCTATATATAGTTCAGACTTAAATATTTGTCTATTTCCCTACTCTTGGCTTCCCTTCAGGTTCCACTGTGAAACGCTCTTCATCATTGATTCTTTTCCTTCTTACACTGTTTCCCTTCAATGCTAGGTGGTTAAAGAATGCATTGCCATTTTTTGTCTTAGGTCATTTTCCACTGATGATAGACAACTGGAACACTACAGTTAAGAAAATTCAATTGCTTGGGTTCTATCTACAGGTCTTTGCTTTAGTTTACTCTGAGAGGCTCTCAAGAGGTCCTCGTGTGTGCGCGCGTGTGTGTGTGTGTGTGTGTGCGTGCGTGTGCGCGTGCGTGCGTGCGTGTGTGTGTGTGTGTGTGTGTTTGGGAGTCAGAGGTTGCTGTCTGGAGTCTTCCTCAATCGCTTTCGATCTTATTTTTTGAGACAGGCTCTCTCAACTGAACCCAGAGCTCACTAATTTGACTAGGCTGGCTGGCCAGCAAGGCCCAGGGATTCTTTATGTCTCTGTCTCTCTAGCACTGGGAGTTACTCCAGTACTGAGATTACAAGTGCAAACTGTCACACCTGGCTTTTATATGGGTTTTGGGGATCTGAACTCGGGTACTTATGCTTACATGGAAGCACTTTACCAACCGAGCCTCCCCAGCTCCTAAATGTTCCTTTCTAGGAGACACTCTGAGTGCCTATCTCACATGTGTAGGCCCAGGTACATCTTTTAAGACTAAAATAGCCTTTTCTACAAAGTCTTCCTGCAGCACAGATGCTTAAACTTGAATTTCCATACAGATCATGTGGGGGTTTGGTTCAATGTATTCTCATACAATGCCTATATGCATCAGATAGAACCTAAGACCCTGCTTGCCCAATAAACACCCCAGGTGATATCCATCTCTAGTCACTATCTGTAATCAGAGTACACAATTTTCTAAAGAACACTTCCAATTAATAGTTCAATTTTGATAAATAAATGCTCTCCTCCATAAGCTCATATTCAAAGGCTTAATTACATCTGAATTGATTCATTTGCAACATCAATGACATCTCCAAGGTCATTTTAAGATGTTTAAAAATATGTACTGGCTTAAAAAGATTAAACTGAAGACTGCCATTCTATAAGGAAAAAATTCTTTTTCTTTCAGAGGCTATATGGCCCCTCCCACTGGTCCTGTGTCCTGCTTGGTTATTCCTTGATGTTCTCTTTTCAACTGCCTCCATCATGCATCTCTGTGCTATTTCAGTGGATCGATACATAGCCATCAAAAAGCCAATCCAGGCCAATCAGTGCAATTCCCGGGCTACTACATTCATCAAGATTACAGTGGTATGGTTAATTTCAATAGGTATGTGGGGAATGCCAAAGGTATTGGTGGAATGTCCAGTCTTTATTTCCATATGGCCAGAATGCCAGGTCTAGTACCTAGGAAAACTCAGAGGTCAAGGCAATCCACTGATATCCAAGAACTTGCACATGACATTCACTGTGCAGCTTCTAAGCCATTATCAGTAAAACCTACGTCAGCAGTTAAGTCTGTCTTCAGAACGAGCCAGTGTTTGCTGTGGGACCATCACACTTCCATTTTGATATTCAGAAAGTTTAAGCCTCAAAGTGTTGATATTTGCCAATAAATCATGAAGGTCTAACTAGCATGAGGAATCAAGCCACCAAAGTAAAGCAGCAAAAAATGAAATGCATCTTCAATCACATCTAACAGCATAAACAAAAGAGGAGAAAAGGCCAAGCAAGCCAAACTTTCTAAGCCGGTACTAAAGACCATAAATTCACCCAGGAAGTCGGCGTTCCAATGTGTACAGACTGAAGGCAGTTAAATATCTACTTTAGTGTCTTAACTGACAAAAAAAATCTAAGATAGATGTTAAGCTAATGTTTAGAAATGGTTTATAGGCAGAAATCAATTTCCTTTAAACTGCTCTACGCTTCTGCACTCATCTTTTTTATTTTTTTAAGATTTATTAATTTTTTTTAAAATTTATGAGTGCTTCTCCTGCACATAAGTCTGTGCATCTTGTGTGTGCCCAATGCCTCAAAGCCAGCTGAGGGCATTGGACCTCCTGGAGGCCAGCTGAGGGCACTGGACTGTTTGGCACTGGAGTTTCAACTAGCTGTGAGCTGCTTCTCCAGTCTACTATCATCTTGAAGGCTGCTATTAGAGCACCTTGAATGAAGTGCGGAGTCCATTCAAAGCTCTCCTAAGTTAATTGCAGAAAAATAAACTTGCAGATTTGTAACAAATGATCTGACCAACACATACACTGCTTTGCAGTAGAAAGAAAAAATGTTTGAAGAGGAAAAAATTATGAATCCTGAAGTGTTAAAAGGGGAGTAAAAAAACAAACAAAAAACTATTGCTTACTTCTCTCTAACCAGTGGAGGAATGTGCTCAATAAAGCAAGAAAGACATGGAGATTATGTTCACATTCCTGCAATAATGGCTCTAGAGCCCAAACCTCTCTGAAATGCCTGGGAGGGAAGAAGAGTTAAGGAAATGTCTGTTGAGAATAGAGAGATTTTATATATATATCCAACAGCAGATGACCAGAATGAGAAAGTGAGTGTCCAGGGAGGGACAGAAGCACAGAAATAACAAGGTATGTTGGGGCCAGCAGACTTTTTCTATAATGGGCAGGAATATGGTGATAGTTTGTTGGTTAGAAGTTATCTTAATTAAGGCTGGATAACATGACTTTATCAACATCAAATTTTTACTAAATATAATGTGCAAGCTCATAAGAAGAATATATTGACAAAAAAGAAAACGGACTGAGCAGTTATATGCGGTAAGTAAATATTTTAGGTTGCAGGCTGTATGGACTTAACTGTGTTGTAGAAGAATAAAAGAACACACACACACACACACACACACACTTTTGCCTCTCTAGTTATCAAACCCAACTTGTTCTGGCTAAAAGAAGTCATAGTTAATACATTAGTAATGACTATGGTGGTGTTCTAGTAAAACTTACAGAAACAGAGTGTTAGACAGTGTTCCTCTAGCTATAGACACTGACGCCCTGGTGCAGAGCACACACACTCTTCTTTCTAGCGGTAAATATGAAATGGGTGGAAAGGGTAGAGGTCGATACTGTAAACAGTTTGAGGAGATTGCCTTGTTCGGAGCTGTTGGGTATTTATTATAAATAGGTTGTGAAGACATAGGAGTGCTTTTGGACTTATAAAACAATACAAGATAAACGCTTAATCAGCTCACATATTTAAACAGTATCTGCTGTTTTGAAGGTGTGACTCTTGTGTTATTCTCTTTTCTAATAATTACTTCCCTAAGCAATATCATATTTAAATACCTACTTTACAGTACTTAAAGTATTTAAAAAACAGCACGAGATATATACATTCTCAACTATTAGAGGAACTCTCAATCTCGAAAACAAGTTCATAACTTGTACACGCTTGTTTATGAAGCAGTAATTTTTAAAGAAAGGTCATTTTGTTTTCTCTAAAAAGTTAGGATTAAAAGACATTCACAAATACCAAAGGATAAAACTTAAAACTGTTAGGCATAACTGTATAACCTGAAAGATAAATAGATACCATTTCAAAATTGACACCAAATCTCCAAATTCTCTCTAAATTAACTACTCTTGATATTAACCTTATCTTGAGTTCTTTTCCAACCTGGAAAAAACAGATTTGCACAGTTACATTCCATTTGTCAAAGGATCTGCCGCTAACCCTGACAGATTTGAAGCTGAGGGTCTCAGGATTACAGTGCACTCATCAGCACAAAGTTTCTACAAGTAACTCTCAAAACAACAGCCTAAGAACAACAGGTCATGAAAGTGACTCAATTTATCTTGCTTCATCTTCCTTAGGTATCGCCATCCCAGTCCCTATTAAAGGGATAGAGAATGATGTGACTAACTCAGACAACGTCACCTGTGAGCTGAAGAAGGAACGTTTTGGCAATTTCATGCTCTTTGGCTCACTGGCTGCTTTCTTTGCACCTCTTGCGATCATGATAGTCACCTACTTCCTCACTATTCACGCCTTACGAAAGAAAGCTTACTTGGTCAAAAACAAGCCACCTCAACGCCTAACATTGTGGACTGTGTCCACAGTATTCCAAAGAGAAGAATCATCCTTTTCATCGCCTGAAAAAGTTGCAATGCTGGACAGTGCTCACAAGGATAAAACTCTACCTAACTCAAGTGATGAAACTCTTATGCGAAGAATGTCCTCAGTTGGAAAAAAATCAGCCCAAACCATTTCTAATGAAGAGAGAGCCTCAAAGGTCCTTGGAATTGTTTTTTTCCTCTTTCTGCTTATGTGGTGTCCCTTTTTTATTACAAACATAACATTAGCTTTGTGTGATTCCTGCAACCAGACTACTCTTGAAATGCTCCTGGAGGTATTTGTGTGGATAGGCTACATTTCCTCAGGGGTGAATCCTTTGATCTACACCCTCTTCAATAAGACATTTCGGAAAGCATTTTGCAGGTACATCACCTGCAATTACCAGGCCACAAAGTCAGTAAAAGCACTTAGAAAATGTTCCAGTACAATCTACTTTGGGAATTCAATGGTAGAAAACTCTAAATTTTTCACAAAACATGGAGTTCAAAATGGGATCAATCCTGCCCTGTACCAGAGCCCAATGAGGCTCCGAAGTTCAACCATACAGTCTTCATCAATCATTCTGCTAGATACACTTCTCCTCACTGAAAATGATGGTGACAAAACTGAAGAGCAAGTCAGCTATATGTAGCAGAACGGGCAATCACTGGCGAATTCGAGTTAAGGCGGATGGGCAGGATGCAAGTGCACCAAGACAATGCACAGAATAAATCATCATCTCATGAAAGCAGGAGTTAATACTAAGGTTGTCCAATTTCCTTATCTAAACAAAGTCAAACATGGACAAAGTAGTTTTGTATGGCTATGAACAAAAGCAATCCCTACCCTGGTTTTCAAATGAAATAAAATTACATAAATTAACAAATTCCAGTCTTTAAAACAATGACTATAGAGCTAGGGAGATGGTGCAGCGCTCACCATGCAAGATTGAGGACCTGAGTCTGGGGCCCCTGCACCCACATAAAAAGCTGGGTATAGAGTTGTTGCCTGCTGCAATCCTATTGCTGGGGAGGCAGAGACAGGAGGATTCCTAAACTTGTTGGCCAGCTACTCTTGTTGAACCAGGGAGCTCCAGATACAGTGAGATTCCCCGCAAAAAAAATCCCACAAAAATCTGATACATAGTGGATCCTCCTCCCCACAAAATATACACGTAAAACCCTAAAACCAAGACAAACAACAACAACAAAAAACCTTCTGATCATATTTGGAGGTAAAGTGAAGAGTGGCTTTAATGGTGATATAGTTAAACGTAGTCATTTTCCTCAGTCAGGAAACTATCTTGACAGAAGAAATGGAGAGGACAGTAGTTAGATGTCAGGCAATGTAACAGACCTTAGAAGTAAAACTGTTAATAGGCATTTAATCAGCAGAGGCAGGTCCACTGGAAGAGGAGGAGAAAGCAAAGGAAATTGCCCTTAGGTACTTGAAGCAGACTATGTTCCTCAAAGGTATGAATCAACAAGCTGAAACAGGGACTATGGAACTCCAATCCAGAGACCTAAATGTAAGTGAGTCATCTCACAAACCGAGTTACACCTGCCTGTATTTACCCAGCAATGTGGCTGAACTTCTACACAAAATTTTTCCTTTACTGTTTGTTAGTTCACCTTGCACTGTTGAAGTTTGAAATGAGCACAGCCTCCCCTGGACAGCTGACTGAATTTAGAATGATATTTAGTTTAACGGCACCTCAGTTTTTGCATCTACATTCTGTGCCATTCTTAACAGGGATCAGTGAATGGTAGTCAATTCCATTGACGGCTGGGGTATTCATTAATGCTACTCACACAAATGGTAAACAAATTTAGGCTGGAGGAGGTGGCAATGACAAGCTCGTATCTTAGCTTTGCCATCTAAAGCTGAGCTGTACTTATATTTTGACCTCCTGCTCCATCACCGAGCCTTTCTAGGCAATTGAGTTTAGGATAATTATGAAATGTGCAGGATAGAGAATTTCAGTGTAAGCAAATCAGACATGGATTCCTCTAGTGGAAGAGTCTTTACCTAGACATGGATCTAATGAACAGACCCCAACATGTGCATATATGTATGGGCTCTGTATCATCTGCTAGGCAAAGTATATCTCAAATTTTAATTAATTTATCATTAAAACATTAGGCACTTTCCCCTACTGGTCTTAATACTTTAACAGCATACAGATGTGTTACTTCAGTTAAAACAAAACAACAAAATAATTTATACTTCTCCATCCCCCAAAAAATAATAAAACAAACAAAAGCCAGACCCAGACAAAAATCATTATTTTGGTTTGAGGATATAATCTGATGAGTCTGTCATATGTTAAGATTTATATTCTTGTCACAGTAAACAGATTATTTTCCTCCCCTTCCTGATGCTATAGATTAAACCCAGGGACTCATGAATGTCAAGACAAGTGTCCTACTGCCAAGCCACTCCCCCAACCCTAAGGGGTCTGTTGTCAGGCACCGTCCTGATAATAGTCTAAGCTCTACACTTTATGCACCTGGAAGCACACACAGTTGTTTCAGGAACTCTAAACGCATAGCTACCAGCAATACTACCAAAGCGCTGCCCAACATGCTCTATACTGTTTGTAGACTTCCATTACTACACACCTACAAAAATAATAACAAAATCTATAAACTAGCTTCCAATATTACTTTAAAAAAAATTTTTGACCTTGACTATACCCTAGTGAGATTATTCCATCATTTCCAGATAGTCTACTGATTGAAATGTAACACTAATATCAATTATTTGTGAAAAGGGACAACATTTTCTCAAAATTTTACCACTGGTATTTAATTGTAATTTCTATTTTATGAATACTTTAAAGAAATCTGTAATTTGATGGGGCTAGAGAGATTACTCAGTGGTTAAGAGTACTGGCTGTTCTTCTAAGTTTGATTCCCAGCACTCACATGGTGGCTCACAACTGTAACTCTAGTTCCAAAGAATCTGATGGTGGTATGAAAGTGGTACACAGATATACATGCAGGCAAAACACCCACATACATTAAAAGAAAAAAAAGTATGTAGCCAAGGTTAGCCTTAAATTTATGATCTTCCTGAGGGTGAGATTATAGGCATGTACTACTATGATGCCTGACAATTTTTTTAAAACCTTTGTTTCATTTGTTTTGTTTGTTTGTTTTTTGTTTTGTTTTTTTGGTCATCTGACACAGTGCTGGGGATCAAACTCAGGGTCCTGCAGAAAACTGCCCTACCACTGAGCTACAACCCCAGTCCGTTTTTTTTTTTTATCACTGATCATAATCATTATAAATGAATAATGGTTTCCAAATCTGGAGGGAGACTGAAAATAGTACACCTGCACAGTCCATCTTGTGAATAAAGAGAATAATACAGATGAGAATTTTACACAAAAATAATTTCATTTTTGTTGAGAAAGAACAAATAAATGCTTTTGATATTTATGTCCAATAAGTGTAACTAAAAAGTTTTCTAAAAAAATCAAGACTAAATAAATTCTTTAGTTGTAGTATAAGCTAAATGACTGCAGGGTCATTTTAAGAGACCAGAGATGATGGTATACGCCTGTAATCCTAGCACTTGGGAGGCTGAGACAGGATGATTATGAGTTAGAAGGCAGCCTGGGCTACATAGTCATAATGAATAGAAGCCGGCCTGGAGCAAGAACCTGGCTCAAAAACCAAACCCTTGACTCTCCCAGAGGAAGAGAGAAGGCTCAGCAGTTAAGAACATTTGCTGCTTTTGCAGAGGGAGGACTTAGGTCACTCCCAGCACCCCCATCAGTGGCTCACAACTGCCTTTAACCAGTTCCAGGAGATCTGACACCTGTTTCTGGCCTCTGTTGACACTGCACACATGTGATGCACATACATATATGTAGGTAAAAATACTTGTACACATAAAAAAAAAAAAAGACAAATGAAGCACATGCTTGAAGGTAAATGATGTCACATGAGAAAACATGTAAGAATTTTAGACAACAGGACAGACACTCCTCAAATATTAACTGCAACAAGGAATCTGAGAACAATATTTTGTTAGAGCCTCTTCAAACAAGACAGAGCTCCGACAAAAGCATGGGGGAGAGAAAGCTAGATTTGTCCTGAGATCGTCTGGAATCTAAGGCTCATCATTTAGCTCCACAACAATGGGAACTTTGCCAACTATTGTCAAATTTATAGCCTTAGCTTAAAAATATGTATTTAATATGGGCCAATAGGATGGTTTAGTAAGTAAAGGCACTTTGCTAACAAGCCTGATGACTTGAGTTTAATCTCTGGGATCCACATGGCGCAAGGAGAGAATTGACTCGCAAGTTTTTCTCTCACTTCCACACATGCACAGTGGTACAGACACACATATATAAATAAGTAAACATGTAAAGTAAAATGTAGAAAACATTTAGAAAGAATACTTACTGATTTCTAAGTTCCTTTCACCTTTAAATATTCATATTTAGAGAAAATGCATTAAATTAAAATTTAAAGAACTTGCTTTTTAACTCTAGTCCCCTAAACTAATTGACCACATTTAATTTTCTTCATCTATAAAAATGTTTTAAGCAAGATTGTCTCTCAATAATTCCTAGGCCCTACCTCTTCAAGAAGGTATTCTGGAAAACAACTCATTAAGATTCTTCAATAAGCCATATGCAGGGTATATATACACTTGCAACCTCTGCTACTTAGGAAGCTGAGGCAGGAAACTCCCTCGAGCCCGAGTTCAGGACCAGCTTGGCTAACACAGTACAAGCACATAATTCATTTTACTTACTAGCGCAACCTGACTATCATGGAATGAAAGGATTTTACTAACAAAAGACAGCTCATGGGTGACACCTGCTGCTGAAACTGTGATTTAGTCCATGTAAATAAGGGGCCAACAATTAAAACAAGCTGACATTAAAGAAAACTGAACAGAAAAGTTCTTTCACTTCTCAACTCACAACACTTTTTTCCCAGACACACAGAACCAACCTATGGCCTCACTCTGAACTTCAATATGCTCAGGTATTTAAGACTCTACTTAAGAAATGGAATACAAACAGAATCTGAAGCCAAAAATTATTACCTGAATAAAATGAAGCCAAGTGACTCTACTGCTGCTCTCCTGACATCATCATTAACGTCACTCACCTAAGGAGAAAATTTAAGATGACTGTGACACACATTATAATACACACTCCATTAATAAACTGATCTAAATGCCCCAATCACTCAAATGTAAATTAGTCCTTAACAATATTTCCTCATTAAGTTTTTCTCCTTTCTAGGTATATCAAAACACATATACCTTAAATATATACAGTAAATAAATTCAAATAATGGCACATGTAGTTTTTAAAAAGCCTTTCCTAGCTCACCTTTAATCCTAGCACTAGGAAAGCAGAGAGAGGGTGTATCTCTGTGAGCTTGAGATCAATAGCCAGGGCTACACAGTGAGATCCCGTCTCAAAAAATGAAAACAAACAAACAAACAAAAACCCTCTTTTCTTTTTTTTTTTTTTTTGTTTGTTTGTTTGTTTTTTTCAAGACAGGGTTTCTCTGTGTAGTTTTGGTGCCTGTCCTGGAACTCACTCTGTAGACCAGGCTGGCCTCGAATTCACAGAGATCCGCTTGCCTCTGCCTCCAGAGTGCTGGGATTAAAGGCATGCACCACCACTGCCCGGCCCAACCCCTCTTTCCTTAATTTAGAAAAAATAAATCTAAGAATTCTCCTTTCAAAGGTTCTTTAGATGTGTCCATGGCCTGGTGAAGTTTAAGGTTCAGAGATACTTAAGATCAATTTGGCTGCATTATAGCTTTTGGGTATAAGGAACACCTATGCATTCCTTCAATGTTGTCTCCAAATAATATGCCCTAAGATCAAGCAAAATATAAATGTTTACAATATAATTCATCCTATGTTTGCTGTGGTAGTTTGAATGAAAATGGCCCCCATAGGGCTCATAGGGAGTGGCACTATTGAAAAGTGTGGCCCTGTTGGAGGACGTGTGTCACTAGAGGTGACAAGCCAGGACCAGTGTCGTCCTCTCTTCCTGCTGCTACCTGCAGAACAGGACTCTCAACTACTTCTCCAGCACTGTATCTGCCTGCATGCTGCCATGACCCCCGCATGCTGCCATGACCCCCGCATGATGACAATGGACTAAACCTCTGAGACTGTAAGCAAGCCCTAAAAGTTTTCCTTTATAAGAGTTGCTGTGGGGAGTAGGAATTTTAAAACTGAGTTTCCTGATCCAATAGAAAAAGAACTGGTAAATCCTATGAGAGTTTTCCAAACCCATTAGCTACAGATTTTGCCCTTGTCACCAGAATGGACTTTACATGGGGGGGCGGGGGGGAGAGTTGCTGTGGTCATGGTGTCTCTTCACAGCAATAAAACCCTAATTAAGACAAGGATCCACCAGGCAGTGGTGGCAAACACCTTTAATCCCAGAACTCAGGAGGCAGATGTAGGCAGATCTCTGAGTTTGAGGCTAGCCTGGTCTACAGAGTGAGTTCCAGGACAGCCAGGGCTACACAGAGAAACCGTCTCAAAAAACCAAAACCAAACAAACAAAACGACAATGATCAAACACCAATGCTAATAAAATGGGACAAGAGTCTTATTTTAAACCTTTCTGCACTGAAGTGAAGTCATTCTCCTTTCTCCCATTGTCAAGATGTCAAGGCGACAGAAGAAATTCACCAAGTTATATGTGGAATGGAAACTATTTGAGCTGGCAACATTATTCTTAATAAACTACATTAATTAAATTAATTAAATTGAGAAGACTGGAAAAGCCTGTTGGAAAGCATGAACATCAGATTTACTGTGCAGGAAATCTCTTGAAATAGAGCATGTTCCCGTTAGAGTATCTACAGCTAATTTCACTGGCTAGAAAAAGTGGTTTCTTGACTGTCTTTAGATTTGCCTATTTTAGGATGACCACATATTCTCAAATGATCTTGTCTCTTACAAATGAGAATGCTCCTTGGGGTAGAGTTTTAGAGAACACACTGGGCTGTTTTTGGGGACTATTCATGCTGACACAGTACTGTTCTATTTCATTCTGAGATCCTACTGTTGAATTATGGATTACTGTGTCCAATGAATGAGAATAACTTGAGACCACTGATGATGGTCATATATATGTTATATGCTGTAGACAACCTACACCTCTATTGTTCACCTGCAAACTTCCCCTTCCACTTTACCCCTGAAAAAGACCAGAGTACTCACAGCAACATGTAGCAGGCGTCGAATAGCTTTGTTGTTACCAGAGCCACAATAAGCCATTGCCACAGTATACATTCCAGATCTTCGAAGAATCGGGTCCTGAGAAAGAATAATTCCAATTAATCCTTAACTTACTTCCAAGAGTGACTGCTGCTGAGCATTGTGAAGCAAGCCTGTGGTCCCAACTACCTGGGAGGTGCAGGTAGGAGGTTTGAGTCCAGCTGTTGCAGGACAACCTGGGCAATGCAGTGAAACGGCCTCTGAAAACAGACATCTCAGGTATAGTAGCACAGACACCAGGCAGGCTTATTTAATGTAGGAACCATGAACCTTAAAACAATTCATGTGTGATTGGTAATTTTCAAAGTGAATGGGGAAAATAAACCCTCAATAAAGGAGAAATTGTTCTCTCTCTCTTTTGGGGGGAGGGTTTCAAGACAGGGTTTCTCTGTATAGCTCTGGCTGCCCTGCAACTCTGTACAGGCTAGCCTTGAACTTAGAGAGAGCTGCCTGCCTCTGCCTCCCTAATGCTGGAATTAAAGGTGTGTGCCACCACCATATTCTAATTTGCCTTTTTCTTAACTAATTCTTGGGTAGAGCACTGAGTAAAAGAAATGTGGAGTCTCACACCTAAACAAATTAATTAGTAATCTAGCCAATAAACTATAATGTATTGATCACATTACAGAGAAGAATGTAACTCTGGCCACCTGCTGCACACAGTACCATCATATAAATATCAGAAAACCTTTACTCAAGTAAGTATAGAAAATGCCAGTTTTCTGATGAAAAAATAATAAACATTATACCTTATTAAAGGACTACTAAGCTGGGTGGTGGTAGTGTGTGTCTTTAATCCCAGCACTCAGGAAACAGAGACAGATGGATCTCTGTGAGTTTGAGGCCAGCCTGGCCTATAGAACTAGTTCTAGGACAGCCAGGGCTACACAAAGAAACCCTGTCTCGTGCTGGGTGCATGCCTTTAATCCTGGCAACT